ATGTAAATAATCATACACGATGTTGTCAATCCACAACCAGAGACTGAACGGTGCTCTGTAACTTAATCTTGCTTAAATTTCTCAGCTATACTCATTTTGGTCTGCTGTATTCCTTGATCTTTATAAAGTTTACAACACTTTTATAAAACAAACCTCTGAGGCCTCAACAGATCCAGGAGAGGCAGAGCTTGTCAGGGCCACTGGAAGTCATTTTGAATAGGGGGTGCTTAGAATATATATATATATATATTTTAGGACCAAAGACCTATGAGCCTATAGGCCTATTTAAAATACAATAAATAAAAATAAATAAAGAGATGAGTTTCCCTACTTTATTTTCATATACACTTCAGTGCATGCAGCCAGGGTCTGTAACACACAGACATCATGAGTTCTCAGGTGAATATATGCGCTATTGAATAAACTTCACAATAACACTACAGGTGCTGGTCATAAAATTAGAATATCATGAAAAAGTAGATTGATTTCAGTAATTCCATTTAAAAAGTGAAACTTGTATATTATATTCATACATTACATACAAACTCATATATTTCAGATGTTTATTTTGTTTAATTTTGATGATTACAAATGACAACAAATGAAAATCTCAAATTCATCATATCAGAAAATTAGAATATTGTGAAAAGGTTCAAAATTGATGGCCCCTGGTGCCACACTCTAATCAGCTAATTAACTCAAACCACCTGCAAAAGCCTTTAAATGGTCTTTCAGTCTAGTTCTATAGGCTACACAATCATGGGGAAGACTGCTGACTTGACAGTTGTCCAAAAGACGACCATCGACACCTTGCACAAGGAGGGCAAGACACAAAAGGTCATCGCTAAAGAGGCTGGCTGTTCACAGAGCTCAGTGTCCAAGCACATTAATAGAGAGGCGAAGGGAAGGAAAAGATGTGGTCGAAAAAAGTGTACAAGCAAGAGAGATAACCGCACCCTGGAGAGGATTGTGAAACAAAACCCATTCAAAAATGTGGGGGAGATTCACAAAGAGTGGACTGCAGCTGGAGTGAGTGCTTCAAGAACCACCACACACAGACGTATGAAAGACATGGGTTTCTGCTGTCGCATTCCTTGTGTCAAGCCACTCTTGAACCACAGACAGCGTCAGAAGCGTCTTGCCTGGGCTAAAGAGAAACAGGACTGGACTGCTGGTGAGTGGTCCAAAGTCATGTTCTCTGATGAAAGTAAATTTTGCATTTCCTTTGGAAATCAAGGTCCCAGAGTCTGGAGGAAAAGAAGAGAGGCACTTCATCCACGTTGCTTGAAGTCCAGTGTAAAGTTTCCACAGTCAGTGATGGTTTGGGGTGCCATGTCATCTGCTGGTGTTGGTCCATTGTGTTTTCTGAGGTCCAGGGTTAACGCAGCCACATACCAGGAAGTTTTAGAGCACTTCATGCTTCCTGCAGCTGACCAACTTTTTGGAGATGCAGATTTCATTTTCCAACAGGACTTGGCACCTGCACACAGTGCCAAAGCTACCAGTACCTGGTTGAAGGACCATGGTATCCCTGTTCTTAATTGGCCAGCAAACTCTCCTGACCTTAACCCCATAGAAAATCTATGGGGTATTGTGAAGAAGAAGATGCAATACACCAGACCCAACAATTCAGAAGAGCTAAAAGCCACTATTAGAGCAACCTGGGCTATCATAACACCTGAGCAGTGCCACAGACTGATCGACTCCATGCCACGCCGCATTGCTGCAGTAATACAGGCCAAAGGAGGCCCAACTAAATACTGAGTGCTGTACATGCTCATACTTTTCATGTTCATACTTTTCAGTTGGCCAACATTTCTATAAATCCTTTGTTTTTATTGGTCTTCAGTAATATTCTAATTTTCTGATATGATGAATTTGAGATTTTCATTTGTTGTCATTTGTAATCATCAAAATTAAACCAAATAAACATCTGAAATATATGAGTTTGTATGTAATGTATGAATATAATATACAAGTTTCACTTTTTAAATGGAATTACTGAAATCAATCTACTTTTTCATGATATTCTAATTTTATGACCAGCACCTGTATAACAACGTAGATTTGGTCAGCTGGCCTCAACCTGAGTCACTGTGTTTATGTCACACGTGACTATTAGCTCCAAAATCTTTATACGTTACATTTATATAATGTAAACAGAGTTGTTTCAGCTTGTTAGATCAGATGCAACAGGCGCAGTGGTTTGATATCCATACATTGGGCTCAATGGTATTACGTTAATTAGCGGGTTGGGTCTGATGTTCCCAAAGCATGCCGATCAGAGCTGAGGCGATTTTAAACCGACCTGCTTGCATAGTCTTTGACCTAGGTCGACAAGGGTCAGTGAGCTGTTCCCATTGCCACTAAAGGCCGATTGTTACCAAGTTTTTCAGCTAGTGAGAGAATAAATACAATCTTAGAACAAATGAACACTGTGTTTTTAGAATAACATTTATAAAAAATTTTGAGAGCCATGTATCCATTTCCCTTCATTTTAGAATTAAATGGTTTTACTTAATTTTAGTCTTTATAACTACAGCTTAAATACAAAGAAGAATATTTGTTTTTAACTGTACTTATGTATCTTCTTAACCATTAAAGAGTCCTTAGAACTGTTACTTTGGGTGCCACAAAATAGTGTCCACTAGACACTAATTTGTGTCTAGTAGAAAAAATGAAGTAGGTGATGTATGAATTCAGGTCTTTGCCAATTATACCAGAAAACATGACCGTGGTGAACAGTAGCATGCTGCTTGTGTATCAGTGTAACATGTCATACAAAACAGGGAAGCAGCTTTCCTCAGATAACAGAGAATATCATTGCATTAAATGATCAGGATGATACTATTGTCAAATGACAGCTATGCCAAGTAGAAAATGTCTCTAATTGCTCTAATTATAAAGGTGAGCACACATCCAAGTGTTTAGCTAAACGGAATCTCCATCATCTGTTTAAACAGATGAATAAGAGAGACATGGCATGAGGAGTCATCCTTTATCCTGTTATAAGATGACCACTGTGAGAGGCGTGTATTACCAACAGTAACCTTGGAAACGGTGGTTCCAGCTCTTTTCATTGACCAGCTCCTCCTGTGTAGTTCTGGGCTTATTTCCCACCTCTCCTAGGGTCATTGAGACCCCACAAGGTGAGATCTTGCATGGAGCCCCAGTGTGAGGGAGATTGACAGTCATGTTTAAAGTCTTCCATTTTCTAATGATCGCTCCAACAGTGGACCTTTTTTCACCAAGCTGCTTGACAATTTTCCCATAGCCCTTTCCAGCCTTGTGGAGGTGGTAATAACTGGAGTGGAGGTGGACATTTTGAAAGCAGACTAACAGGTCTTTGAGGATCAGAATTCAAGCTGATAGAAAGGTATTTCCAGCTGTATCATACAAATAAATAGTAAAAAAAAAAATGTACCGTGATTTCTGTATATTTATTTTTTTGTTAGATTATGTCTCTCAGAGTGAGCATGCACCTAAAATGACAATTTCAGACCACTCTTTGATTTCTGTTTGGAGAACTTGCAGAATAGCAAGGTGTTCAAATACTTATTTTCCTCACTGTACCTAACAGGAAACCAATTAATATCTTTACAACCCTTCTACTATCTTCAGCCTTTCTATCACGAAATCTGTATGTTGTTCAGATTTTAGCTTTACTCAAAAAAGTAAAAACATTTTGTATGATATAATGTATTTCCATCAGCTATAAATAATTCGACCACTGCCTCAGTCTCAGCCACATTATTTTACATCGTTCAGTTCAAGATCATAACTGATCACACTGTATGGATAATATAAATCATTGCAGGGATTTCTTTCACATTTTTTCCTCATCTCAATTTGCCAGTCAGCCCGTAGTCAAACACAAAGTGACAGAATCTTTGAACTACAGTGTAAAGTCCATTATCGTCGCACATTCTTTGAATACCCACTGTCAGATCATATCTTCATCACCCGAGGCCCCCCAGTGATGCATAGCTCTTGTCATCACCCTGACTTATTGGTTTGAGAGGAGAAGAGTCTTTTCCATATTCCTCGATATTTTTTGCTATGTAGACCCTCTGAGCAAATAATACAAAAAATAATAATAGAATATTCATTTCCACCTTAAAGGAATAGTTGAAAATTTTTTCCAGACAGGTCACCAAATTATTAGTAGGTAAAATCCTTCATGTAGTAGATAAATCTTTCAGCATTTTATTTTAGCTCTGAAAGATTGAAAAAATAGTCTAAAGCTACAAAAATTCAACTAATTTAAAACAGAAATAATCTAGAACATTATGGCTGTAAATGTAAACACTATTTAAAGGCTATTTGTGAGTATTTGTTTAACCATATCCACATTGAATAGGTATTTACATAAAAATTAATATATTTTTTTACACAAATAGAAACAGGGGGACGGCACACCACTAATGACCTCCTGTATTAATCAAGGCCTTCCATTTATCTGTAAGGAACTTACAAATTCACCAGGGGATAATAAAGCTGTTTCTTTCTCTGTATGTGCATTAAATGCTCTTAAGATGCTGGTCATTTATGCCCCTTTAATATTGCAACATTAATTTATAGCAGTCAACCTGCCAAAACTGACAACTCATAAGTAAAATCAACAGAAATAGAGCAAGGTAAATGTCTTCAGTTTGCAATATGCATCTGATTTAAATGTTTTTGTGTCAGATTATCTCCATCAATGAAAACACTCTTTAAAGAAACAAGTATGGGTAGAAAATGTAATTGGGAACTGACAATTATTCTGTGTTTAAGCATGTATTTATTGTAGAAATATGCTTTATGCATCTCTTTGTTGTTTAGTTTTTTTTGTTTTTGAAATGTCTGCTTCATGTTCACTGACAAGACACCGTCTTATCTTGTGCTATTATATGGGCCATATGGGCTTGCAGATAAATCTTTTTTTTTTTTTTTTGCACTTAATATAGGCTGCGTTTAATATTGACCTCCTTATAGATTCCAGAAGAGGGGAAAGTAAATATCGTGCACAGTCACTTTTATTTATATACAGGTCAGTAAATAATCATTCTTCATGAATAGCATTTAAGAAAATAATTTGTTAAGGAGTGCAGTTACCATTAGCTGCTTTGTATAGCTTGTACTTTGTTCTGTTAATTTGTTAATTGTAGATCCATACTTCACTGTTGATGGTCTCCACAAATTCTCAAAATGAAGAAAAATAGTCTGCATTAGAAAGTGAATAGTTTTACACGAAGATATAACTTTATAAACATGATCTTTCAGACATTACAATAAATATCCAATTTAACTAAATCTACAAAACAGAGTACCAAATATACCTGGAGTAAGTACCTGGTGTAATAATTAATATGCATATGACAACACAAAGAAATGTACAATCAAAGTTTGGTCCAGTTATACATTTGTTTAGAAAGCCTCCTGTGGCAAGCTTTCTTTGAGAAACACAAAAATGATAGGCAGAACCTAAAACCACTTAAACAAAGCTTAAAACCTTTTGTGACATCAGGTATCAGGTGAATACTTGGTAGATATATCTAAGAGCGTAGCACTTCTTTCAAACCAAATCTAATATCTAAGGCTTCAGGTATTTCATAGAAATGGAAACTATACATCTCCACCCCAGAGTTCCATCTCCTTTTACAGCGATACCTGAGACATGTGCAGCTCCTTAATATTTAATACATTTATACATGCTCTGCTTGGTAAGAACAGGTTTTAAACAGAAAAACAGAGAGAAGTGCCAAAACAATAGTACACTATAAAACAGTTTAAACATCATTGATAAGAAATTTTCTTTAAAAAAAAGGATCTACGCTAGCTTACAGTCACAAATCCATGGAATGTTAAACGTTCTCCTTGGTTGTAGTGATGCCAGAGCACGCCAGATTCAAGAGGGTTTTGGTCCGTCTTCTTCGCCGACTTACTAAGTCTGTATCAGATACTAGGCAGCACACAAGAACAAACAAAGCATCTGTGATTCAAGAGCCTTTTCATTGTCAGATACGTGAGCATTTTACTTTTATGATGCATAAACACTGAACATTATCCCTGAAAAAACACCCCCATTGCTGCCATGGTGGCTCTAGGCAGGCAGTTTCCCGAGCATTTCTCAATCTGAGAAAGGAAAAATACAACATTACCAGCTGAGGTTTGAGTCCATGTTACTGTTTATGGACGTCTTCGTGTCGAATGATCTTATACGTGATCCAGTAGAAGACGTTGAAGATCAAAAACGCCAGCGGGAAGGCCGCCCGGGAGATGGTGTCTATCCTCTTGGCTCTGTCCACAAACTTTTTCCTCATAGCATCAATGTCCTTTGGAGTTGATGGCTGGGGGTTCGGAGTCGGAACAGCGTTCTTAACGGCCTCCTTTGTTGGCATACACTGACTCATGTTGTAGCCGGTAAAATTAAAACGGCCTTCATCTTCCTAGAAAACAATAAGTGAATGTTTGGGTGACAGTTTTATGTACTGCAATAGGTCAAGTGTCATGCTTTACAACTCAGTGGGCAGAGACATATATTTCTGTGGTATATGAATGGGAATCTAAAACTATTACCAGCTCTTCTAAATTAATTAGAATTCACAGGATAGTGAGACACACTTTAAAGAAAAACTAATAGTAGGATTGCTGTGGGGTTGGAATCTTAATTTTAGCAAAACAAAAATGGTGAACCAGTTCTCTATTTTCCATTTACCTACAACTCTATAAAGTTTCACAAAAACTAAGGCTGAAGGGCGTTTAAGTAGCTTTTATACACTGACTGCTCACTTTCAATGTCTTTAGGAAACAAAATCGACCCTCTTCCAAAGCCAGTTGGGTTTTAAGATTTCATACAGTTATTAATTTGAACCGTCAACTTGACACAGTCATCCTAAAGACAATTATACTGACTTTAATTGGTCCACTTTTGAATTAACCATTATGGTTCTGAAGTGTTGACAGTGGCCAGCTTAACAATGTATCTGCTATTTGTTGACGATATCTCAGAAATTAACATCATGTTTAAATGAAGAAATCTATGGACTTAAGCTGCTTCAATATTTTTTTATAGTTATGCTCTTATTGTTGGTTTATCAAAAAACGAAATTGGGCAGATTTATACATGTCATATATATACAGTGTATATATATATATATATATATATATATATATATAGGACTTCTGTGCATGTCATGGATAGTCCATAATGAAGTCCATAGGTGCACTCTTTAAAAAAAAAGAAACCACAAGTTTATATTGAATATGTAACCTATTTCTTCTCATTGACTCCCCTAATGTAAAACATGTACCAAAATATGTAAATGGCCTTTTTATTTACCTCATAGAAAAACTGTTATATCTACAAGCTGAATATACAAAAAGACACCTTAATATAAATGAGTAAAACATTAACTTAAACACACTTTGTTATACGTTTCAATAATATTCTAAGACAAACTATGTCTAAACGGATCAAAATCATACAATTGTTTTAAATCAATTGGTCTTTATCATGTTAAAAAAAACAACAACTATATACTCCTTATCCAGCAGTATCTAAAAGATTTTTGGGTGCAGTACATGCCACATAAATAAGCATATCAAACTTCATGGTTATTGTGCTAATTAAATAATTGATAAAAATGCTAGTTTGAATTACAAACCTAAAAGGGAGACAGAATAAGTTTAAAATTGGCCATAAGTTTATTCGTATAAAGATATGAGGCTAATATAATAAGTAAGGTTATAAGCATAAGGCTACCTATAACTACGGTAGTTCCTTGATATTTTTTCAACCCCACCCTTTGTTGCCCTCAAGCCCATGTCACTGCAGCCCGTTTCTTCCTCTTCATTTAATCCTCCTCATCCCCAGTTTCTATTATCATATTATCCTCCTTTCAATTTTCTAAAGACACCCCCTCATGCTGACTCTGCTCCTTCCAAGCCTTCAATCAGCTCTCTCCTCACCCCTATTCTTCCACTGCTGACCCTTTCCTTTAATCAACTTGTAAACTCATATCTCAGTGCTGTGGTACTTGTTAGTCAAATAGGTCCATCAAATCAAACAAATTGTCTGTTTTTTTAAATATATTTTATTTAAAAGGTTTGTTCAGGCTTTTGTTCATAAGTCACATCCTTGAACGGTTCATTTCCAAGTAGAGCCAGGGTTTCCATGAATGTTGGCATACATTGTAGAAAAATATTGAGCCTTCCTGGAATAAGGATCTCTTCATGTTGCAGCGCCTAATGGTTTTTTTTTTTCTCAAAATGGAGTAAACCATCTTAATAAAGTGCTTTTTAAAAAAAAATTATTTTGGTAATTTTTTTATGTCTAAAATATGTCAAGTTAACCTTTTCTTTTTTCAGATTAGCTTCTTTTTATTAACTTCCACATTAAGCAGAGAAGGCACATTTAAGCTTTAAAACTGTAGATATAAACAATGGGGAGGATTTTATAGAGAATATTGCATTTGTTCTGCTGTAGCCCAAAAAAGGGGAAAAAAAGTAAATTACAGCTTAAATGGTTTTGGCCTGGAGTTTCTAGTGAAGAGCCATTCATGCGCTGCATTGCATTGACTTTCAAGAAAAACTTTCTATCATTTTTGAAGGTTAATTCATGTATGAAGATGTAGGAGAAAACCAAGGCACAAAGTGACTGCTGTGTTGAAGTGTCGTACTCAAACTGCAACCTTGTCAAATATTTGAAATCCTTACCTTGTTATTCCGTCTTTGTCTTCGCCTCAGGCGGAGGAACTCTTTCTGTTGCCTGGAGACAAAATTAACCCCAGCATATTCTAGCAATGCAGCAAATACAAAGAGCAGACACACAGCCATCCAGATATCAATGGCTTTCACGTACGAGACCTGAGAGACAAAACAGATTTTCTTTGTTAGACCAAACAAGGCGACAGCTTCAACTCACAGTTCAAATGCAGCAGGAATTTCTAATTTCACTTAGAACTCTAATCCAGTTATGATATCAAAGTCAGCAAAGCAGTTTCACCCTTTGCTAGTTAAAATGTGATATTCAAATGACGTTAATATTTACAGTGTGGGATTGACACTGAACAATGGGAAAAATTCTGCTGTGAATTGATTCCTGGTTTGGATCTGTAATTTTTGGAAAGTTAAGCATAACGTTTGCAGCTTTTCCTTCCAATCCCTAAGACTTTGCTTCTTCATGACGGCTGATTAACGTTTCCAGAAGTCAAAGCTCTCAAAAAAATCTCTTGAAATATTTATCAGCCTGTGTGTGTTTCATGCCTTTCATGTCCTTCATGACAGAAGCTGTAGCCTTTGATAATGATGAGATTGATTGATTGTTGAGATCCTACTCAGTGGGCCTGGAGGACTCTTCACAAGAAGTGTGCGGCTGTTTTCCATAATTGAAAATAAGCTTCTTCAATCTCGCTCTGCTGTTTGTAATGCATAGATGTTCTGTGTGACAGACACGCAAGGACAATAGTGCTGTTGACTTCAGGGTACTCTAGATGAGTAGTTCTACAGTTTCTATCTTAGATTAAAGATATCTTTATCAGTTTGTGTTAGCCTGTCGTTTATATGGGCTAAACATTTGTGTTGATTTATTTACTCTTCTATTTAGATTGGATTGTGTTTGTTTAGTTGACGAATCAGTTTTTTTTTTGTTTTGAAATGTTACTACCATATTTTTGCTTTTATTGCCAGCCATTTTTATCTAACTATATTACATATTAAAGAGAGAAATAAAGTGAATGCAGCTGATCTATGCGGACAGACGTTCCAATACACAGCCAACAACTGCAGACTGTTTTTATAAAAACACTCCCTGAACTAATGTCTCGTCTGACTGGCCAGTTTTAGCTGTGTGACGTCAACACCCTGGAAAGGTTTCAATACACCTTTCACGACAACAACTCTCAGATTGATTTTGAGCTTTTGGTGATCAGCATGATTTTTTTTTGTAGAAATAAATTAAAAAGCAATCAATATACATGTATATCGCCATTAATGATAAGAATATTATATATTCAGCTCAATCTACTGACAGCAGATAAGAGCAGCAGTCAAGAGGCCAACTATAGAGGAGCTGCAGAGAAGGTGGATGTTAGAAATCTGTTCATAGCACAACTCTTTTTTGTCAACTGCACAAATCAGGCATTTATGGGGAGATGGCAAGAAAAGAAAAGCCATAGAAGGTCAGATTTGCCATTTTCCATAACTTATGTAGGGAAAACTGCAAGGATATGGAAGACAGTGCTCTATTTTGCCATTTGTGTCTTAAATAGCCAACTCTATCCTTGCACCTGAATATACATTGTCCTCGCACAAAGCATGGTAATGGTAGTAACATGCTGTGGGGTTGCACAGAAGATGAAGGCAGCTAAGATGAAGGCAGCTAAACAAAGCAAAGAGTGTAAAGATAGACATTGTACTACAGCAAGATGTTTAAATAAATGAATGTATGTGCCTCTCAATGATTGTTAAAAAAACGAATTAAAGCATAAGATCTCCCATTTTGTATTTTTACGTATGATGGTAAAACAGAGAGAGAGAGAACAGTTTACCTTTGGAAGAGAAGCTCTAGAGCCAGAGCTTTGAGTGGTCATCGTAAGCACAGTGGTGATGCCCAGTGCCACTCTCGCAGGAGCAGCATCCATATTGATCCAAAAAGAAACCCAGGAGAGGATGACGATGAGGAGAGAAGGAATGTACATCTGGATCAAGTAGTAGCCCATTTGTCGTTCCAGGTGGAATTTAACTTCAATACAGGTGAATTTGCCTACAGCATTGGAACAAATACAATTCATACGTAAGGCTGGGAGAGAGTATAGCTGAAATAAACATGATTATGGTGTGCATGTTTGTCCTCTGACCAGTATTATAATGTTTAGTGCAGTATCCCAACTCCTTCTCTTCCCTCATGATGAACTGAGGCAGGGTGAGTCCCTCTGACACCTGCACCGCACCGTTCTCCAGCCACTCAAAAACCAAGTCGTTCATAGTGTAGCCAACTGAGGATAACAAACGGTAGGAGGAGTTTAGATAAAGCCTAGATTTTCCATACAGAAAATCCAGAAAAAACTGCAGAAGAAAAAAAATGTGAGTGCTCACAACTCTCCAGCTGCATCGTACAGGTTTGCACATCCATTGGGAAGTTTTTCAGATCCATTGGACATGACAGAATAAGAGTCAACCTGTAACACCAAAGAATGTCATGGAACAAAAGAAAGGGGGTTCAATGGAATATGCTTTTGTAACTTTGAACCAGTGCCTCAATACAAGACTTCACAGTAGATGATGAATCCCATTACTGTCAGTAGCTTTTGGGTCATATCTTAAAGGATTCCCTTCAGCGGGTTCTCATATCACACTTTCATTACTGCAACTTATTGTTTCTGTGATGCAATGTGTTCTGCAGTCTGCCCACTCTATCACCCCCTCCCCCCTTATCCCCACCCCTTCACTTAAGAACCTAGCTAACCACCTTTCATTTCTCTCATTCACCCACTCTACCTCCACACCTGTGCACTACTCAGCCCTGAGCTGCTTTCCAAGTGGACTCAAAATTGATCTGTGTTACATCCATTGCTTGTTTGCAGAAATAAATTGAATGCTGCATGTGGCAGAGGTCGTATGAAAATGAGAAGCAACCTGTTTTCAAATGTTGTACCAGGTCTGTTTTTTTTTACAGTTACAAGTGTAAGGCTCTTTGATTGTCGCATATGGAGTATTCTCTAAGCTATGCTGTGCTTAGAGGCAAAAACGAAGAATAACTTCTTCTATCTTTGCTTTAGATTTTCATCCGAAGACCCTGAGATGAGCTTGCCTTTTTCAATCAGAGTTCCTTTCTATGAAAGAATACCAAGAATAAAAAAACAATCTTTCTTGCCTTAGAGATCCACTGATGTTCAATGTATTAGAGTGTTTCAAAGGAGAGAACAGATAACATCAATTTCAAATTGCATGCTTTAGATTGAAAGTCTTTGAAGTCTGAGAATGTTGAAGAAAAATGCAGTAAGTGAATGTGTTCTGGTGTAATAGGTTTTGGTTTTGATTGGATCTTTCACTTTTTTTTACTTATAACTTCTAACAGCAACTGAACAACAACTACCAACAACCCATCAGCTCTTGGACATTGGAAGTAAACGTATTCAAAGATCGAAAAATACCCAAAACATTTCTTAGAAATTTAGCTTAAAGTTATAGTGGAGGATGTTCTTTTCCCGGGTGGATCGTCAAAATAAGTGGTCCTCCTAACTGTCAATAATTCTGGTGATATGTTTACGTAAGGCCGTCCTACGTGCCCATCCCCATTTTTACATACTGGTGGTGAGTCTGACTTAATGGAAAAATTGCAAATCTTCTTTTGGAAAGTAAGCTTGTATGAGCAATGCATACAAAAACTTTTAAACAGAGCGTGCACGAGGAGAAATAGGTTCCTGCATGCTCTTGCACTAGTTTAATAGGCATTGATCTTTATTTATTCACTGGATTGCTGGTAGCCTTTTGGTAGTACGGGGGGGAATGAAGCCACCGGCCGCCATATTGGTACTCCTGTGTTAGAACAATCGCAATGTAAACGATACGTGCACTACAGCATCGAACAACAATGATGTTTTCAAGGGGGCTTAAAACTTTTAAAATAAAGAGATAAATTCATCACTTCAACACAAACTTGCTGTTTCATAGCATAAGTAGATGAAACTGACAACAGCCAGATGCATGTCAGGTTATAAGTAGATAACTGTAACTAATAATAAAAAAAAAAAATAGGCACATCACATTGTATAGTCATTATGAAGCCAATGAAGTCTACAAGTCATGTAATTCAACATGTTATACAAATCCATCATAACAAAATTAACGTGTTGATGGTGCACAATAATACAGATGTGCCAATAATGCTAAATTGAGGATGTACATGTAATATAGATGTATTCTGACATTGTTGTGGTAATTACATGTTGCATATAATTTCAAAATGTCACATCAAGACTGAATTACAAGCACACATCTGTTAATGCTATATTTTCCTATTTGCAAATTGTGCATGCAAGATGCCATATACTTTTATGTTGTGTCTGTGCTTTAGCCTTTAAAAATGTTTGAGCCGTTTTTTTTTAAATATAGCCTGCTATTTATTTCAGCATGGGACTTTTTCAAATGCAACAAACACTATAAAAACGGCAGCATCATCCACTTAATAAAGAATTAGTACATTGACATTTCACAATTTTCTAACGTTAGACACAATGTCAATGGCTAACTCAGTCAATGTCTTCGAGTCGGTCCGAGATAGCCAGACTGATGTTACTCTACATACTATACTATGGGATACATCAGAGTATATATGGGTTTTCTTGATTAGTACATCCACTGACTGTGAAATTACCTGTGAATCGTCTTGCTGGCAAATGCTACACACGTCTGCATTTTTTTGGTGCATCTCTGTGGGAGTACCAATATGGCGGACGGTGTTTCACTTTTTTGGGCTATCAGCAATAAAGTTCATAAATAGAGATGAGTGGGTACAGGGTTTTGCATGTGGATTTTTTTTTAAGTGGAGAGTATGGGTCTTTTCAAAAATGTGGGAAAATCCTCCACTTTACCTTTTGGTAATTTCCAAATTTTCGCCACAATTTAATCCTCGGATGGAGTGCCTTAAGCAGTATACGACTTGCAAATTTTCATAGACTTTGAAATGCTTTACATTCTGTCACATTACGACCACAATTCTTAATGTATTTGAATGGGATTGTATGACATGGGCAGACACCATAAAGTAACTTTTAAATATGATATGGAAGGAAAATCAATAATTTTGGTTTTCCATTTAAAAAATATCTGATTAAGCAGATTGTGTATTTTTATTTACAGTAGGCTTCCTGTGTCAACACTTATCCAAGACACCTACAGGTCAGTCAATACTCCAGCTTTATATCTGACTGATATTTTTGTTAAATGTTCTTTGCATAATAAATGTAGATCTACAAGCATCTTTTGATTAAAGTATAAAAGGTTTTTTTTTTTATTTTGCACATCAGACAGTTTTTTGTATTTCTAATATATCAAACATGCTCCACTTCACCTAATACTGTACAACACAGTTCCATCCTTAAAGATGCGTAGCAGCTTGTTGTCCGTGGTGACGTCATGGAAGTTGGCCCCCTTCTCATTGGCAAAGAAAAGGTCTGGCTTCCATATGGAGTCCAGCATGGACGGGTCCAGGTCCAGCGAGGAGTCTGGGTATTTACTGTATGCCAGTCGAGGGTCGTTCCACTTCTGTCGCAGGAAGATGTTCACTCTGTAATCCTGCAGAGACCACAAGAAGCTTTGAATATTTTGCTGCGCAGCAATTTAGAGGCTATAAGAAATACATCCTGACATTCTAAAGGTCAGTTGACAATGTCCTGTTTTAGCGATGGCTAATTTTAATGATTACAGTGATAAATAGTCATATAAATAAGAACATATTACTATCATTGATAGAAAATTCATTGTGCAAATAGGAAACACTGCCAAATTTTTGAGTAGTTTAAATCTTTTAAACTACAAAAAGATACATCTACAAATTCTGTTATACTCAAATATCAGCTTTGGCTGCTAAACATCAAATTCAAACAAAAGCACAATATGAACATCAATAATACAACTCTCTTAATAAGTTCATATTCTATTAAAAGAATTTCTTTAAATATTTTCTAGAGAGAATTTATGTTTAAAACAATATTTCGGTTCACAAGTTTGCATTTACAGAGGATTTTCTCTAATATAGCCAGGTTGAATTGAAGTGCGGTATGTACGTACCTGTATGCAAACTATTAAGTCTATTAACTTATTTTACAGGTTAGGTCTATGAACTGAAAGGAGTATCCAACATGTCTCTAAATAATTCTTAAGGAGTGGTCCAACATGGTGGTGTAACATCTAACAAGATTTAAATGAGAGTGTAAGCCCACAATACACACATATAGATAGATAGATAGATAGATAGATAGATAGATGATAGATAGATAGATAGATAGATAGATAGATAGATAGATAGATAGATAGATAGATAGATAGATAGATAGATGATAGATAGATAGATAGATAGATAGATAGATAGATAGATAGATAGATAGATAGATAGATAGATAGATAGATAGATAGATAGATAGATAGATAGATAGATAGATAGATAGATAGATATCCCAGGATAAATAACATTTAAATAATTTCCTTTAGAGCACAACATTATAAGAAATTCATACAGTTTTAAGATCTATCCTTACTGTCATCCACCAAAATATAAAATAACAACTATCTGAATCAACATGCACCCAAACACTACTTTCATTTAGTAAGATTTGAAACTCAGAATTTCTTTTGCCAAAAACAAATTTGCAGCATTACAACACAACACTGGACAATTAATGAAAAAGAAGAGGGGTGAATATAATTCTGAATGTCAGTTTTGCAAAACCATCCATCATCTAGGTGTCCATAGAATGTTAATCACTTCTCTTGAGTAGATATAATTCAAGTTTGCCTTAAACTGACCTTTTCAATTGGGCCGTGTCAGAATTAGACCTTATAGTAGGTAAATAAATGATGGATTAGTGGAGCTAGAAACATGGAGCTCTGATACTACTGTTAGTACTATAAACTGTCAGAAATCTCAGTTGCTCAGAGTAATTGATATGTCATGATGATGAAAAGCCCTGATGTTGTTTGACATTTCATCAGCATATTGGCGGTTCCATGTATTTGCCATGCCTGTCTGAGGCTGTGTAATTCTCTGGAAATCCCACGTCTTCCTGCTCCATGCACAAATTAACATTTTCCACTTATTATCTCAGTGGTTATTATCTGTCATTATGCATCCTGTGATCTTGATTAGTTTGGATGTTCTAATAGGTGCTTGGTTTCCCCCACTTTAACAGATTGATGTATGTAGTTTGAAACTACAGGGATTGTGTTAGTTTGGACCTGGGGGAACAAGTTTGCAAAAAAAAACAATACTTCATCCACCAATTGGTGTGTCACTAAAGATGCATGGGTTAAAGTAAACAAAAAATGAACAGTGGGTAAAAACATTATGATTCAATCTTAATTCCAGAGAAGGGGTCAGGGCTTTGCACAACACTCCACTCACCATTGTAGTTTCTGCTATAGAACCAAAGCTGTTGATAAATATGTTGCAGGTAACATTAACTGGTGGACCTGCAGGTTGAGGAATAAATAACACATTGACAAATTGGACAGGGAAGATATCAAGATAAAATCCAGAAGAACTCACCATGGTTGTCTCTGTGACAGAACCGAAGCTGTTGATAAAAATATTGCATGTAACGTTTACAGGAGGACCTGTGAAATGGAATGACAATGACATGACAAGGGGGAAAGAAAGCCTTTAACCACATGTTTCAGCAGTGAGTTAAGGGTGAGAGGGAATTTTGGGCTGCTGCTTTGCTGTGTATTCAAACATGCGTTAATACAACAAGCAGTGTACTGTATGTTGTCTGGATGGTGGCATGTTGGGTGTGAAATTACATTAGCTTTTTTGGCTCAATGTTTCAAAAGAGCAATTAAAATCAAACATTATGATCGGTTATGAACATCGGCTTAATGATGTTGGTAATGATGTCTAATGAAGGTAATCCTTTCGGGGTAATTTGCTGTTAACACATTGAAAAGAGGATTCATGCACACAGAATCAAAGCCATGCAAACACACAAAGTGGTGTGTCAGCTGATGGGTGAATTATCTGATCAGCAAAATTTCCATAAACATTAAAAATAAACTGTTCTTATAACACAGTGCCTAACCACAGTACTCACACTCTGTATCACATTTTGTCACATTACAACTACAGACATCAATGTATTTCATTGTAACTTTATGCGATGGACTAATACAAGTGCTTACCTGTGAAGTAAAAGGAAAGTGATAGATGGTTTTCCTGTTAGTCTTTCTATATTTTTCACTGTAAAATGATCCTTTACAGTGTACTGTACCTCTGTATTTAGTCCTTCTGAATCAATGCTTTCTGATAAGTCTTATCTACATCTAAAACACAGTCAGATTATTTGGTACATGAATGTTCTTGTAACAGATTCCTAACCTCTAACCCATTCTCATTTATTTTGCAAAGTCTGACATGTTTTCTACTCCTGCAGCCCTGTTTTATCCATTCTTCCTCCCCCTAAATTATGCTAACTGAATAAAATGGATCCACAGTATGACCCTGCCACAACCATGTTTCACTGAGGATATAAGTTAGTCGAGGATATCCCAAGTTAGTTTCATATCCCACGTAGTGTTTTACCTGTACGTCACATAGTTTAGTGTTGTCCTCATCTAACCAAATTTTGATATGTCACATTCATGGATTGTAATAGACTTTAAAAGGGATCTCTACTAATTTTCTGACTCTCTTCTTGTCTCTTTTTGATTAGTGCAAGCTTTGCTAAGTGCCCAATTTACTTAACATTTATACAGTTATACACTATATTGCCAAAAGTATTTGCTCACCTGCCTTGACTCACATATGAGCTTAAGTGACATCCCGTTCCTAATCCATAGGGTTCAATATGACGTCGGTCCACCCTTTGCAGCTAGAACAGCTTCAACTCTTCTGGGAAGGCTGTCCACAAGGTTTAGGAGTGTGTTTATGGGAATTTTTGACCATTCTTCCAGAAGCGCATTTGTGAGGTCGCACACTGATGTTGGACGAGAAGGCCTGGCTCTCAGTCTCCGCTCTAATTCATCCCAAAGGTGTTCTATCGGGTTGAGGTCAGGACTCTGTGCAGGCCAGTCAAGTTCATCCACACCAGACTCTGTCATCCATGTCTTTATGGACCTTGCTTTGTGCACTGGTGCACAGTCATGTTGGAAGAGGAAGGGGCCAGCTCCAAACTGTTCCCACAAAGTTGGGAGCATGGAATTGTCCAAAATGTCTTGGTATGCTGAAGCATTCAGAGTTCCTTTCACTGGAACTAAGGGGCCAAGCCCAGCTCCTGAAAAACAACCCCACACCATAATCCCCCCTCCACCAAACTTTACACTTGGCACAATGCAGTCAGACAAGTACCGTTCTCCTGGCAACCGCCAAACCCAGACCCGTCCATCAGATTGCCAGATGGAGAAGCGCGATTCGTCACTCCAGAGAACGCGTCTCCACTGCTCTAGAGTCCAGTGGCGGCGTGCTTTACACCACCGCATCCGACGCTTTGCATTGCACTTGGTGATGTATGGCTTGGATGCAGCTGCTCGACCATGGAAACCCATTCCATGAAGCTCTCTGCGCACTGTTCTTGAGCTAATCTGAAGGCCACATGAAGTTTGGAGGTCTGTAGTGATTGACTCTGCAGAAAGTTGGCGACCTCTTCGCACTATGCGCGTCAGCATCCGCTGACCCCGCTCCGTCAGTTTACGTGGCCTACCACTTCGTGGCTGAGTTGCTGTCGTTCCCAAACACTTCCATTTTCTTATAATACAGCTGACAGTTGACTGTGGAATATTTAGGAGCGAGGAAATTTCACGACTGGATTTGTTGCACAGGTGGCATCCTATCACAGTTCCACGCTGGAATTCACTGAGCTCCTGAGAGCGACCCATTCTTTCACAAATGTTTGTAAAAACAGTCTGCATGCCTAGGTGCTTGAATTTATACACCTGTGGCCATGGAAGTGATTGGAACACCTGATTCCAATAATTTGGATGGGTGAGCAAATACTTTTGGCAATATAGTGTATTTTCCCTTCTGAACAGCTCCTCAAAAGTTACTGTAGTTCTCATAGCTGCTACGCTTCTTCCTAGGCCTGTCAGCTTATGTAAGATAGGTTGAATCTATTTCCCTCTGACCTCTGAAGATAATTGAATGGAAAAGATTTTATCCAGTGGTATCAATATAAAGGGGGCTACTGATTAACACACACCACACTTTGGAGGATTTTACTTACAACAACATTTGAAAACCATAAATCATTTTCTCTCTTCTTCAAAAATTTGCACTTTTTTTTCTTTTTTTTTTTTTTACAACACTGACAAATGAAATCTGTATATGTCAAATACAGCCAAGAATGAATTAGCTTTTACATAATAACGAATTTGTTATTGGTTAAAAAAAAAAAAAACTATATTAATAGTGAAAAGTTATACTTAAAATCTGAACCATCAAATTTTTATCTTTGCTCTAGCAGTGGGGAACAGGTGGGAGCATATTCCACAGGGTACAGCAGTTTTTTTTTCTCAGCAGCCTAAACTAAAATATCTTTGTGACACTTGCCTTTAGATTCACAGTGAATCTTTTTCTGTGGGATGATAAGGGAAGTTGTAAGCGCTTCCCAGTGCCCTTTCCCTGTGTTTTCCTCATCAATATTTCATGGCCCCCTGTATTAATATTTGCCTCTCTTTGTCAAGTTTCCACATTTTTACAGCAAAAAAAAAAAAAAAAGGTAACTGGCATCAACTCCTCACAACGAACACAGCAGGAAAATCTAGGTCAGGTTCTTTAGAAATGCAGTTCGACACTCTTCAAAGTACATCTAGCAGGTCATGAGCAAAAACTAACTGTTTATAGTGCACTCAGTTAGTGCAGATTTTTTTTGTCTCGTTTTTTTTACTTTAATATGTGAAGATCCTGAATACAGAACGGTTCCTGCTTTAACTTCCCGGCTGTATCTAGCATCAAAGCAATCCAAATATTAAAAAAGCAAAATCAATGTGTTAGGACTAATTATTTTCCCTAAAAAACATGTTCTGCACCAGACAACGATCTGCTATACCTTTTCACATTGTATCTGCTACAAACAGTTGCTTTTATTGGGAGCATATTTTCCTATACATAATAACTAATGCCCAATCAGAATTGATGCAGTTATATCAACCTTTTCTTTCCGTCTTGACACAGATTGTCAAATAGGTCTGAACTGTGATGCGTCCATTAAATTTTTTAAGCATTCCTCTGCCGTATCATGTTCTTCAAGATGCTGTTTCTTCAGAAAGGTTCTCTAATAATCCTCTAAAGACTTACAGAACAACTGCATTGATACTGGTATTGAATGAAGCATAGGTAAACTCTAGTTGGGGAGCTTGATGGACAGAGTTGTATTAAGTGGGATTAGATTGAAAGAACAGTTTTTTGATTGTGTAATTTTAGTTCCACCTAGGTTTTATACTATGCGTCTGTGTGTGACATAAAACCCCCCAAGAAAAAAAGTGAGCTGAGACTCTAGGAGCTCAAAGTGGGCCTTAGCCTCCATTAGGGAAGCCTTTTCACACTCAGAACCATTACAGTGACAGAAGCTGCGTGTGTTCTCAGCATCAAAGCAACAGCAACAGAGGAGGTCGGCATAGTCTGCAGCCTAGCCACTGGGGATCCATCAATCTTTTGGCCTATCATAGTGGTATCCCTGTCTTTTGTAAGAACCAATGTTTTATCTCCAAGTTACTGTGCTATTTCCAGCTCCTGGTTTATATCTTACATTTAATAAAGGCAGATATTAAATTTGGGATGATTTTCAGATAGAAAAAAACAGCATTCAGTGAGATGTTAAAGATTTTAATTAAGTTTAAGCTACGTCCCCCACTGCTAATTGGAGTAATTGATCGTTGCCATTGAATTGCTTGATGTGCAGTTCCCTGGCAACAGATAGGGTCCAACACATAACTGGGTAAAAGTACTAGACGTGTTTACACTTACAAAGGCATTTTTGCTGCTATTTATAGTTCTAAAACGTGAGAAGTGAACTGTGTAAAAACGTGGACACTTATGACTGCGAACACACCTTTGAAATTGGGTCGTATTCTTGCATCGTAGCCGGACGTGCGACCCATGAGCGAGTCCAGAAAGTCTGATGGAGACATATTGGTGGAGGACCTAGAATCGTACTCCTTGGCGTCCACGACTCTGGAAGGCACACATGGTGAAGAGAGGAAATATGATAGTGGATCAGAAAGAAGTCAGAGCTCAGAAAGCGACAGTTACACCATGTCTGTGTTGCCCAGCGGCTGCCTTGGAGTCAGGGGCGCGCACAGAAAACGTGTAACTGCTCACACAAACAAGCGCGCGTTTATTAAGCTATCAGATGCGATTTACCTCCCAAATCAGGACTAATCTGTTCATAACACGAGATTCCCACAGAGATGCAGCAGCGAGCGGGTGGGAGCTGCAAGAATCTCGCAGCGATGGTTCAGTTATTAACAGGTTTAGGTGCGTAATGGTCAATTTTATCCAAGAAAAAAAAAAAAAACATGCCTACAAGAATGAGAAAGAAACGTCTTATATTTAAAAACATTACAGAAAACAGATTGCATATATTTTTTTAGATATTTAAATATATAAACGACACCCGTTCGTGATTTAATGGTTTATCGTTTCAATTATTTAAGTTGAATTAGTTAGAAAATGTGTGAAAAATAAAAATAGAAACACCTAAAGTGTTTTTTTTTTTTTTTTTTTTTTATCATAATAAGAATATTTCTTATTGATAAAAATCGCACTGGAATTTTGTAAAGACACACTGTAATGAACTCCGATCATTTAATTTCTTACCTGAAGTTGCTCATCTCTATAAAGTATGTGAATAAAGCTGCTAAACCCTTCATGAAGGAGTGTTTCATTCCCGGTGGTTTCCCCATGTGCTTCACCTTTCTATTCTATTTCTTCCATATGATTCACATCAGTCAAACACATAATCCAGATGGGGACAGAGGCGCTCTCCTCCTGGCGAAGTCGTTGGCGTTCGGGCTGTCTCGGGTCACGCAGAAACGGGGGAGACATTCCTCAATCCAACCAGACTTCATAGTTCAGTTTACCAAGACGTCAGATTTACAAAATCTGACTGATAAGGTGTAGGGAAACATCAGTCCTCCCGGAGATGGGAAAAACAAACCAGACGTCGAAATACTGTAAACTCCAAGACGCATCGACTTGCAGTTTCTTTTTGAGGGGTGGAGGGTGACTGAACTCTAAAAAGGCTAAATATTCTACCAGGGATGTTGATATCTGGGAAGTAGAGACGTTTTTGGGTTCGAATGGCTCTCAAAGAATGAGACAGGAACGCCTTTCCCCCGCTTTTCTTTCTTTCTTTCTTTCTTTCTTTCAATTCAGCACTTGGACAGCTCCCGAATTCTTTACGCGCAGGCGCAAGGTATTTAAGAGTGACGAACGTGAGATGATTTTTAATAAAATAACACAATGAAGCGACGTAATCACAAAAAAATGATATTTAAAAACCTCCTCCAGAGGTTGTCTCGTGGTGACTGATTGACGTTTTAAGTTTTAAATGCTGGATCTGCCCCCACCACCACTAATGTGACTGACTCCAAAGGGAGATTCCCAGAACGCGCAGCCGCGTAATAGACAAATGGCCATTTTTTCTGGAATATTTCTCGTTGTGAAGTACAGATAAGATTAATTATTTTAGCTGAGTGTGAACGGAGATATAACCAACTTAAATTAAAATCCTCGTGTTTGGAGAGCCGGTCCAAAAATAAGGCTTAGACAGAATTTCAGATGGGGCCCCATTCCACTCTACACTGCGCATCATAAGGTCAACAGATGTTTATCTAATTAGAAAATAGTTGAAACTTAACATTATCTCCTTCATTTAAATTAACAAGTAACTCAAATTGTAGAGAATAAGTCCATCAAATATACATTTAAAAAATCTTTGTCCCATAATTTAGATTTTTTTTCTTTACAGCTAATAAAAATGAAATATTTAGGCTCCTATAAATTACCGACAACCAGTATAAGAGTGACTTTAAATTCATAAATGTTGAGCAACTAAAAAGTATGCCTTTGTACTTTTTTACTTTAGACCACATGTAGTTATTTCTGAGCCTGGTAACTTTGGTCAAGCTTTTTATCTTATTTCACTTTTTTCCCACATATTTTTACTGAAAATGCATGGAAACAAAATAAGAAAAAACAGCTACAAAGGATTAATGATCGTCTGACGGTGAACTTTTTGCCCTGCTGTCCTTCTGAATGATGTCAATAATTGTCTTCTGACCTTGTGACCTCAAGCAATCTGGATTGTATACCTTTCCACTCTTCCCCCAGATGCTAGGGAACCTTATTAACAGATATATTATTTTTCCTCTGGAGCCAAAGTAGGATGTGTCTAACAACGTCTCTGGTTCACGGTTATCCCATTGCTTTAGTATTATAGTCCAGAGGCTGCGGCCCCTTGTTCACATGTTTCTCTTCCATTTAACTTCCTTTTCATGTGTGTCTATGTATCCTGCTGTGAGTGGTCACCTCTTTCTGTAATGATCTTTTGTGGTGTAAAATTCTTGGGGACAGTTATCTGTAAGTTTTTGTGCAGATGCTGTCTTGTCTAAAGTTTATTACACCATACAAATAACACTAAGTTAATTTGTTGAAAACTCTGTCAGTAGATGTTCAACATATCGTTCAGAGTAAGGGACAAATGGACCAGCATGTATGCTTGAAGAACCTACAGGGCCAAAAGGGGCCAGAATTGAGAAAATAATAAATCCCAATACTATATTTCTACCTTACAGATCTTTAAGATATTTATTCAACCTTTTTTTCAGACTGAACTTAAAAAAAACAAAAACAAACATAAACCATATGGCAATGGCTGAAAGAAATGTTTCTTTTGAAGAAAAGTTACATTCCACAAACAGATTCAGACAAGTTTTTGAAGATCATAGATATTTTTCTTGAAAAAATGGATGGGAAAATGTATGTCTGGAATGAGCAAAGTTTGTGACAATTGTGCTTTTCTTTTTTTTGTGTTTTTTTCCCCTCCACAATTATTTACAGAGGATGTTTGGATTTATTAAATTGGATCTTGGATCAAACTCCATACCTCTCTTTTTTCAATTTTCTCTCTTTTAAGTTCCTATTTGAATGTGCTTTGATATCGTTTTAGGAGTTTTAAAGCATTAAAACAGGAATCATCTACCATTGAATAACTTGGATAATAGGACCTTTAGAAATGTAGTCCCACTACTCTTTGAATAGTTTTTTTTTTATTTAGACATACTGTAGGGTATTCTTGCATGAACCACCCATTTAATATCCTGCTATATGATCTCAATGGTTTCATTAAGGAAGTTAGAGCAAAATTGTATCAGGAGTATAACTGCAGTGGGTCAAAAAATATCAGTGACAGGATAATTTGTAAAAATGGGAGAATATACCTCTAGGTGTAGAGTTCTGCAGGGATCTGTCTTCGGATGTAATATCATATATTAATGATTTTATGTCACGTATCATTAATATTTTTACATATTATATTTTCTGGCAGTACAAATTTGTTTTGCTCTGATCAGGATCTGGAAATAAAAATAGTTAACGGTGTAACTACAGAATTTTACAAAATAAAACTTTGGTTAAATATGCTATCCTTGAATAGCAACATAACAAAGGTTATGTGTTTTGAAAAGAGAGTAAAAAAAAACAAACAGAAATTACTATTTTGTTTGATGGTTTAAATATAATCCAGATAAAGGAAAACTGTTTTTTAGGTTTTTCTGCTATTAATCAGTTCATCACATGTTTACTATGTGCAAAAAAAGCTCATTAAGTTGCAGTCCTCCATGGATCAAAGATATCTCCGTAATTTTTACGCTTATTTTTTGCTGCTGTATTTTACATATTGTTAAGAAGTTGGGGCAAATAATTTTTTTATTCCATTTAAAAGACTCAAAGGGATAATCTATGTAAGCGAAGCACAATATTCAGATTATAACAACCTGATGTTCGATCTGGTCAAAGTGACTTAAATTTAAATGTTTAGTTCTTTTTCTAACACTAAAAGTGTTAGAAGAGCAACAGAAATGTCATACTAGAAAATATTCAAAAATTGCTGACATGGAGGAAGCCTACAAACACCAAAAAATCTGATAACCTGTGAGTGTGTTGATCATAAGGAAAGGCTTTTGTGTTTCAGTGTGTAGTATACAAATATAAAACCTTTTGCCAATAAAAATAAAGGGTTTTTAAAATAAAATACAAAAGTATAGCGAAATGTTTCTGACAGTGTGAGTCAGTGTAAGAACCAAATTTACTCAACAATAAACTAAACATAAACTTAACAATAAAACTACTAAATATCATAATAATTTGGGCAACTGTTTCAGAAAACAGTTGCCCATATATATATATATATATATATATATATATATACAAAGAACTCTCCAGCAAGAAGCCACAGTGAGAGTATTTGCTACCCTAGTTGCCCTGGAAACAGATTTCCAAGGCACATCTAAATGCTAAAAGGTTGGCCCTCCCAGAGAGAGACGGAGGAGAGCCGACTGCCTGTCACTGATGCAGACGACAGGAAATATGCAGAAGCCTCAGGCTGGGGGAGCTCAGGTTTAGTAGGCCAACATCAGACAGTCTCAGTAATTTTAGTTCTAGTTCATATGCATGGAAACTGGATGTATTGATACAGAAGTTGGAGGGAAGAGCTGACAGTATTCAGAATCTGAGTGGGATTCACAGGCTTCTTGGACAACAGGCATGAATGAGTCATTCCACACAAGCACATGTATGTGCTGTGGAGGAAGCAGCTACAGTTAAACACACAATAACTACTTGATTATTTCTTTAGCCTAAACTCAAGTTGATTATTGGGACAGGTGTTGGGAAGCCAAACATCGAGTGTTATCATTCTTTACAGAGCACATTTTTGGACCAGATAAGACCTTAGTGAATCTCTTCAACAGGATAAAACGAGAAATAGTATTTTGCCTCGCATATGACAAGTGCAAGCTATATGTTCAACATAGATGGCTTTTTCAGTTACCGGTAAATGATTTTTAAAATAAATGGAACTGCTTTCACTGCATCTGTTCCCCTTGTTCAACTATGTAATGGGCTGGTATAAATTACCACAATTTTATAACCTTAATTAAAATGATCAGTCTTATTTGTTTTAAAAAAGAAGTTATAATAATAGAACTCAATATTTATTACATGTACAATATTGTAATTTCTAACATGACATAAAGTAATAGTTTCTACAGTATGTGCTCTGGTTGTGGTTTCATTCTGTGCCTCTATTTTGGCTGTTTGTTTTTTTTGTCAGTAAGACCTTTCTATTTGATTCCCTTCTGTTTTCTTTCTTAGCCCCCTATATCTAGTTATTTGTACATTCTGGTTTAGACTGTAATCTCTGTTTAAGTCCTTGGCATTTGGTTGGTTATATCCTTCTTCAGCTTCTTCTACTCCCGTTAGTCATCTAAGCTCCATTTGAAGAAAAAGAAAAAGATTCTCCCCCAACCAACTCTGCATTCTGCTGACCCTACAAACTTGGCTTTCACTTCATTTGTCTCTCACTCCTCCCCACTACTTAATCTCCATGGTTGGATTGTTCATATCTCTGGCCCTGGCCCTCAGTTTATATAATAATAAAAATAAATAATTGAACTTTATTGATCTCACATTGGAGAAATTTACCTCTGCTTTTGAACCAGTCCCCTTGGGTAGCAGTGGGCTGCCATTGTGTGGCACCCACAGAGTAGTGTGGGGTTAAGAGTCTTGCTTGGGGACTCAGACTGGCAGTTTGTCAGAGTGGGGCTTGAACCTCTGGATTCCAAGCTCTACGCCTTAACCACTAGCCCACCACTCCCCCCATTTTAGGCTCTGTAAGTTCCTCAGTGGGCATCTGTCCCACTGTGATTTGGATCCAAAAATATCATAAACATGTAATGAACAAAGGTAAATATGAATACTTAGCAAATCTACTAGAGCTTTTGAAGGGCTTTTCATGTTATATTTTGTAGATTACTTTATCTCAATAGCGTATAACAAACTGATATTAGGTGGCCCAATGGTTGGGTTACCTGATGAGTGCTGAGGTAGTCAGTAGGCTCTTAACTGATAAAAGGCATGCCACTTTCAGCATCTTAACAGTAGTTTGAAAAAATGTCATCACCACTATTGCTGCAATTTTCATTGTATGTAAGTTTTCTTGCAGTTTTATATTTCAGCCAACTGAGCAGTTTGTTGGAGCAAATGGATAACAAATCACTTTATGCTCCGCAAAGCTGTATAAACTCCAACAAGCTAATTGACTTTTAATTAAAACAATACTTTCAAGTTGTATTATAAAGTGTAAAGTATAAACTTTAGATAGTATGATTTAAAATCATATCCTTAAGAAAATCTTTGTACACCCTGGTGCTGCACAGCATCACAGTTATTAGCTACAGCAACAAGACATTTGGGGAAGAAATGTTTTCCCCATTTTTGGCATTATGTCCTTAACATTCGGTTAATGGGTCATGTTCAATTACCCTTAGCAGAGATTGCATAGAGATGTGCTTGAAAGTTTATATACCCTCCCAATAAAAATAGTGATAAATTCACACTAGTAATTCACTGTCAGGCTCAGAACAAAGGGACGCAGTTTTCAAGGTGGAGAGACAGTTAGGTTTAACAAATTGTTACAGATATAACTGCGGAGAACAGCGTGGGTGTCTAAGGCAGGAACCTCTGCAGGTGGAGAACACAGGTTAGTGACCACATCAACGTCACGCAGGATATTAATGAACGTGTGCGTCACTAACCTGGTCTTAATGTTTAGTCTGTGCCCATAGGATGAGGTTGATTCCCGCCGGTCGACTGCCAACAAGACGTGGTGGGACCATCCTGGAAGTCAGAGAACAGGCAGTAGATTAGATCAAAGCAAATGATAAAAGGCAGGATAGTCCGAAGGGTGAAGCCAAAGCCAGTGTTGGGGATGTGCTTGGGAGTGAAAGCCAGGAGATCAGAAGTCCTAAGAGGAACCAAAAGGAAATCCAAGATGGTGTCAGGAAGCAGTTCCAGGTTCAGTACACTGGCAGAATCCAGGAGTCCGAAGACAGGTCATGCAAACAGATCATAAAGGGAACAGGCAGGCTCAGAGGTCCAAAGGTAGAACGGGTTAGGATCAGGCAATGAGAAACACTCAGACACGGTTAGAGAACTGGTTAAAGAGAGGCTGAAGCAGGTGGATCAAATGAACAGTAATGAGAACAGGGCAGAGCTAAGCAGGTGAGTTAAAGGAGTAATCAAGCCAGTCATCAGCACCAAGATAATGACAATTCACATAACACAAAATTTAAAAAGGTAATAATATAAATATACACATATATGTATATTTATTATCATTACAATTATATATATTAAATTATGATTTGATAAAATAAATTTCAAATATTTGTTTGATAAAATAATTATAAAAAATAAACTGTCCCTCATAAATTAGAGCACCTTGCTCATTAACAGTGAACCAGAATACCTGTCAACAGGTGCAGAAGTCAGACTGGACATTTCATGAACATTACAGAAAACACCTATATATGTGTGTTTGGTGTCTCTGTGTTGCATACACCGGTGATAGAGATTACTTTACTTACTAGCTGCTGATCAGTCCGGGCTGTACCCTGCCTCTCGCCTTTTGACTGCTCCTTAAAGGAAATATGAGGTACAGAAAATACAACAGATATTAAACTTTGATAGATTTGGACCCTACCCTTACTAGTTTATTAATCAGGCTATTTAGACATTTTCTTTAAGTTTTTTTAGTTTTTGTAGTTTTTAGTAGCCTTAAAACGGTAAACATTTGTAACTTCTCTTCAGTTTAATAGGTTTACCTTTACATACCTAACTCTGTATGTTTTGTCATTTTATGTTATATGAATATAAGACAGGATTTCTTCCTTTAGATTGAGTATAGTGGTAATTATCATGCTCTGTTAATGATTTTCTTGAAGACTTTGAGTAGATACTGTGGCACAAGCTAAGGTTAGCTGTGTCCAACATTCATAGTTTGACCAAAGATTTTGTTATGAAGGTGTAACAAAGGTAATATCTTATAAATGTATTTTTTAGTTTGAAGTATGTTACCCAAATACATTTTCACTAATAAATTAAACTTAGAAAAAAAAAATCTATTAGCTTTTTGCATAGTTATAAAGGTTTTAGTTCTTAAAGCTAAAAGGTCATGAAAAAAAACTGCAGGAATGATACACATACAAACATTATTCTTTTAATAAATCAAGTGATGGGTTATTCTTTTAACACCTCCTATGATTGCTCTAATGCCAATGTCTTAGTTTTTGAACCATTTTAGGGTTAAAAACAGACAATTAAACTGTTTTGAAATCTTTGTTAAATTAACCCCGAAATGGAACGGTCCAGTACAGCAAATTAAAAAACAAAAACAAAAACTGAATTGTCTGTAACATAGTCTTTTAACTGAGGATACATTTTTTTCCTTCATATCATCTCCACTAAGAACATTAAGCCGGGAGGCTTCCCTTGACACCTCATGCGTCACGGCTGTCATGCTCAGGTTAACATTAAGTTTTAGCCTGATTCTTGGTTATTGTCCAGTTAGCAGATCATCCCCGCCTGAGGTGAATTACTCTTCCTCTCGCTGACTGAATTACAAGTGTCAGAATTGCCCTCGCTCTTTCACTTCATTGGAGAATAAAACATCTGTGTGTCAACAGAAGCTGTGTGCATTGCTTCTTCTAAGGCATGTTCCCAAGCATGAATGCTTAATGCCCGAGTTAATTATTCAACAAATGCTTTGCTTTTGATTGAACAGCAAACCTTATCTTGCAAGTAATGTGGAGCACCACCACCGATGTCTTTTTTGTGGATGGCTCAAATGTCACAGTGTCAGGATGATGGCAAAAATAACATATTTAAAACCACATACCCTCTTTAATGAATACATTTCTAGCTGATAAGAGACAGAATCGTCTTTGCATCCAAGTATCTTATTCTCCTCTCTTAGACAGCTACTGTTGGCAAGTCTGTATGTTATGACAGCCTACTGGAGCTTCAATTGGCCATTAGTTACCATGAGGAAAGACTTTAGGCCAGGTGGGTCATATAATTAAAGAAGAACAAGTTGAAACTGTGTGTTAATGAGGGAGGAGATGGATGCTTTCCTCACTATATCTTCGGAGAAGGGGGGTGGGTAAAAAAAGCACAGCAATCCTTTTTTAACTTGAAGTGCTTGTCTGTTTTCAAAGAAAACGTATAAAAAGTAAGGCATTTTATAGAGCTGTCTACATACTATAGATATGTACAGTATGAAGTCTGGTTGCTTAACACTAGTTCCAAAAGTATTCAGACCCCTTGCACGTTTCAAGTTCTTGCCATTTTGGAACAGCAACTTTCAGTGTATATCATAAAGGTTTTTGCATGGGCTGCTACAAAGCAGTAAATCCATCCATTCATTTTCCATCATGTTTTGTCCCAGATTGGGTCGCGAGTGGTACTTGTGCCTATCTCCAGCTGTCTACAGGAGAGAGGTCGCCAGTCCATCACAGGGCAACACAGAGACAAACAACCATTCACGTACACACTCACACCTAAGGAGAATTTAGAGAAGCCAATTAGCCTAACAAGCATGTTTTTGGACAGTGGGAGGAAGTAGGAGTCCCTGGAGAGAAACCAGTCATGCAAAGGGAGAACATGCAAATTCCATGCAGAAAGACCCCGGGCATCAGTGCTACCCACTGCACCACTGAGCAGCAGTGTAAGCATTAACACAACCATTTGTAAAAAAAAGTTGTTTGGTCAAAGCAGGACAAAATCAGTAAATTTTTTCCCATACATGCAAAACACAACATGTGAAAAACAGCATAATGCTGCATGTGATCATATTCCTGTTACTCTCATAGTGACTTACTACAGTGGTTGAGACATTATACTGTGGATATAAACCCCATGGCCAGAAAGCTGGTCAGACATGATCTGAAGATAGATAGAGTTGGAGTTAGAGGCTGCAAAAGACTTTTCGCTTGAATCGAGTTCCCAAAGCAATTCATGGTAACTAGAACTACAATGGCAGGCCAAATTGAAGATAAACTAAAAATCAGCTGCGAGGCTTAGAAAAACAAATCTTCCCATCCAGTCTGACTGAACCTAAGGTATTGAAAAAAAATCTTTAATAAGATAGCTGTATATAAATGCCCATGTCAACTGCTCTCAGTTGAAAGTGTGTGATGATAATTGGATTCTGGAGTTGTGACATTTGTTTTAATTTATGTGTTAATTTTGATGTTTTTCCCTCTCTGCTAATTATGTTTAATGAATATCTACATTTTCTGTGGATGGTTAGTTGTGATAATTTCTAGCAGTTCTCCCTGTCCAGAAGAAATTATCCTAAAAGAAAGACGAAGAAGTAGATTTCCAATCCTAGGTCTTGGACATCTCCGATTTTTCTTCCGAACACAGTTATATATTTTTCCAACCCTCATATAATACTTTGCCAATAATACAATACTTCACCACAGAAACTCTCAATAAAATACAGTAAAGTTTGAGGTTACAATATAAAACATGAGGTAACATTGAGAGTCTCAATCTCAGAGGACTGTTACAAATAAGTTTGAAATTTTAGTCTTCAAAATAAACATTTTTAATATCAATAATAATTTCACTGATAACATGTGGTCTACCTGCAGTAGATGATCACATTTGACACAGAGAGTAGAGCCAAGACAATTAAGGAGACATGAGGTATAAAAATAGAAAGTTTGAAGCGATAAAAGAAAAAAAAAGCAGCATATAAGAGATGAGTGGATTTCTTACAGCTGAAGCCCTCCTTCAAATACTGAACATTTTCAATGAAGTTGCATGATAATTTGATATCCTGCAGCCCCAGTTTGAAGAAAATTAATTAGGCACTGTATGTACAAAACACCTGAACAGTCTTCGATCTCTTCTCAGTTACTCAGAGGCTGGAGACTGACTGGAGAGCTCACCTGGAAACAATAAGCAGGCTTTAACACCCTGATGCTCCTGTGCACTGGACTGTAGACAATTGAAAGCTGTGGAGAATCCATTGCTCCATCGATTACTTGTATCTTTATCTCACTTAATGACTTTTTTGCTCTATAATTCAACTCATGGAAGTGGTCCCAGGTCTGGCAGAGATACAGAGAAGTAACATGTGGCGGAGGCGCCATGCCTGAGGATGAATGGGCAGGATTTAATGAAGGAATTGTTAAAGAGAAGGGAGGGATTTGAGAATCCTCCAGCGCCAAAACACCCAATGCAATTATCATAAGCTCTCTGTCAAGGCAAAATGAAGCTATATTCAGGCACGCAAGAGAATGTTAAACTCAACTAAATTATTCAGTATACATCATAGCTGCAACAGAGACACATGTTCAATATTTTTCAACATTCTTCACTTGACACAGCACTGAAGCAATATGGTTATGTGAAGCACAGGTGTGTTTATCCTCCCAATGAACTCACAGGGATACTGGCCCTTGTTGGCAATATTCTTTCTGGAAGCAAAGTGAACAGGAGCAGTGGCTGTCTGTACTGTAGCTCCTCTGCCAATCACAGCTCTCGCTTATCAGTGGGAACCCTTATACAGCCACAGAGCCTTTCCCCATCACTGAGCACTGAAAAACCACTGATCCTCTGTCTAGACCTCCTGTACATGCTGGACACCCACGCAGTCTAGGAGCAGCTTAAAAAAATAACTTATTAAACCACCACAAATGCATGGCCGACAAGAATCAACTTCATCACAAAACATTTTTCTCCAGCTTGTTAAGCAATTATTATTCAAGCGACAGCTAATTTGTCATGTTGCTGCTCATGTTGAGGCGTCTCCCCCGAGCTCTGGTTTCTGTGCAGTTACCCAAACCCAATAGAAGCACAAATGCAGTTCCTTTTTTAATATCCAGCCAGCGTCTGCTTCAGTGATGACACTTGCTAACAGTTTATCTATTTGTAGCTCGCAGGCTTGTCTCACTGTGCAGCTGTCAGTGATGCAAGAATACATCGAAAACTGAATGCAATTCAATTGCATAACTGGTTTCAATCAAATTTCCCCCCCCTTTCAGCAGAGCTTAGATGTGTGTTTTGGGACCAATTACTCGCAAGAAGGACATTGGCAGTGCAGCAGTTTAATAAAAAATATATATTAATGGAAAAACTAATCTCCAGAATGCAGAGCGCTCTGGAAAATATTTATAATTGTTGAATTCACACATCTATATGACTGTGGGGAGTTATACTATTTCATGAGTAAAACGCACACATTTAAATGGGTTTCTTTAACCCATTGGCAATGTCAAAAGAAGTTGACAGACATTATAATTCATGTCATACAGCAGAGTATGTGCAGCGCCACTGTTAAAGGCTCGCAGGTAGAAAGTATGGTAGAAAGTAAACTCTCTAGAGTTCAGCTTGTGTGATAAAGGAACACATAAAAGGTGACTATAATAATCAAGTGATGCTGCCTCTATTTAAGAAAACAGCTGATGCATTCATACAGAAAGTGGTTTGATTTTTAAATCATCAAACATTTGACATTTATATATATAAATATATATTCAATATCATATAAACATATGATCTGGATCAATATTGCTGACATTAAAAATTTATTCATGAAAAAAGCTTTATTCAAAACAAGAAAACAAATCTTAAGAAAAATAAGTCCCCCCCCCCAACAAAAAAATAAAATGAATTCATATCAGAAAAAAAAACAAGTTAGCACTAGACCTCTGGCTATGCTCATCTAGTACTTTGCAGCTCAAAGGCCTTGAACTACACAACCCTCACAAGGGATCTACTACTCCAGGCCCTGATTCAAATCCAGCAGATCGGTAGGAGCCCTTAGGCCAAAACAGAAGTTCGTCAGCGGTTCGAAAGCCATGAGAATGCTGTCTGAATAGTGCTGGCAGTAAGGAAGGAGGTAGGAAAAGGAGCCTGTGTGTTTCTTATCATAGCTGCTTTAGCATAGGGAGCTCTGGACATGACTATTGGGTGCTTAGGAGCTATTAGGAATCACACAATCCCTTGCTGTGACAAGACATAAAGTACAGCAAACCACAGAGAACTGAATAGAAATTTAATGACAAATACAAATGTACTCTGTGTGTCACATGTAATGTACACACCTTCATATATGTTTTGGGTTTTATAATGGAAAGCTTTAAAGAGTCACTAAATTGGTGAAACTTTTTGGTAAGTCTGTAGTCCCACTTTGATTTGTATTGTGTGTTCCTGTCCAATAATGACCTATAAGAAGAAAGGTTATCATGATTCAGTACAGCAGTCTGAATTTTTTCTTTTGTGTACAACAATGTTCTGATTACCTGGCGAAAGGTGAAGGAACAGCATCTCAAAGATGGTACCTTGGCTGTATACTGGAAGCTCCACCAACAGAATAAACAATGAATAGCTAGTGTTTAAAATGACTATAGTGGCACAGATACATACCCTAGCCAGTGCATCACAAATGGAATACATACTACACACAGGTTGTCTGTATAAAGCTGTAGAAGACTTTTACTTTGGTTTGCCACTTTGATCCAGAGAGACACCTAAGGAAAGATGAGAACAAACAAGAAAATGTTTTACCTTCCTTTCAACATCAGGTAATTAAATACCATAAGAACCTCTGCACTCATAACAGAGTACAAGATAAACAAAGGGGTGCAATTCTGTAAGCCAGCCAGAAAACATAAGAAAGCTACTTATCTGAAGGCATGGGTTACTCCGTTAAAGATAAAACAGTGTTATTTATAAAAAGTTTGAAGTATGGAAAAATATTTTATTTTCCAATCATTTTAACTTATATAAAGAGTATGACAATTTTTTTCTAAACTTGTCTAGTCATAAGTCATAAGTGCCTTGTTAATGTATGTATTCATAGCTTTTTTTTTTTTTACACTTCTGAGTTTATTTTATGGGAGTTTTTTGTAAGCTTTGTAAGTCTAGTGATCACTGCTACCCCCAAATTTGTTATTTTAAAATCCGATCAGATGGAGTGCCTTTTTGAAACTTTTAAATGTTGGTACTGTTATGAAATCAGATATTGGCTAAACTATTTAAACAAAATGCTTCAGAAACATTTAGTATTGTTCTGGTGTTTGAGTTTTTGGAAGGTGAACAACCTTAAGTCAGCCTTTAGGAGATTTCTTTTAAACCGTTTTGAGCTATATTTAGATCAAAGTAATATGTTTCTTGAAGAAATGCATCCAAACAGAGAAAAGCTTTTATCAGACTGGTAAGGTCATGGTCATTTTATGCTTAACACAGCATTACAGACATAGGCCAAAAATTTCTATTTTGAAACATGGCCATTTTTCAGATGTTTTCTTCGTCATACATGGTTGTTGGAAAAATTTAAAGCAGAACCCCACAACCTCCTTCCAGCCAACATAAAGGTAATCGGTTGTGGAACATCTAATAGTTGTTCTTCCTCCTCAGGTGTTACCATCAGCTGCCATGTGCCTCTTGGCTGCTGAAGGTTTTAAATCATGTAGGTGGTTAAAGTCACCAGTGCTGCACATTTTGATCCAAATCAAAGCAAACATTTCTGATTTCACATCTGAAATGTGTCTCATTATAAGTGAACACAATTTAAGACTTTTAAAGTTTTTATCTTGATATCTCAGAGGTCAAAGCTTGGACATAATTTGATATACAACACCACTGTCTTCCTTTATCTTACACAAAAACATTTTAACGACCATCTAAACATGTTTAGTTTTATGAACAACGGATGCTCCTGAAGTAATATAGTTCAGAAATGAAGGAAGTTGTTATTACCAAATAAATATTACAGCCTTTTTTTTAAATAATTCTCAGTAAATGTAGTCATTGTCATGGCGACATGGCTGCTCTATGAGTCGATTTATGCATTCATAACTAAAGATTTTCAAAGATTGAAAACATTATTGCTGGGATCTATGTGACATAATAAATGCATGCAAATATATTTTTCATGTTGCTAAAAAAAATAAATCCCTTTAAGTCCATGCACCTTTAAAACCCCTATTTCAAGGTAACTAATCATTTGGTAAAGATAATTACCAGCCTGAAAAAAGAGGCAAAAATAACATTAAAAAAAAAGATTACTTTCAGATATTAGTTGACTTTTTTATCCCACTATTCAGACTTCATACTGAGCACAGACTGCCATGAGGTCAATCTCATTTTCGATTTCCAATTTGTAGTTCTAGCTGGTGCTCATCAGCTAACAAATCCTAATGAGAGGAGTTGCCAATGAGGTTTATAAAGTGGAGTGGGAAACGGTGAAAAAAAAACACATTTCTTACACCCCCTCGAAAACTTTTAGACTGCAATTAGAAAATAATTTAAAGCCTAAATATTATGAGTCGGAGGTCTTGTTTTACAAAGACCATATGTTTAGAGCTGTCAAAGTGTCTGTCATTGTCATTGTTCATCACATCTCTGTACCCCTGTCTTCATGCTAGCTCTCTTATCATTTTTGGAACCATTTTTAGAACACTGTGGGGCAGTAAACACAGTTTCCATGGGAACATCACAGAGACACACATTGATAAGCGGATCGGAGCAGCTGTATTTCTCTGATGACGAATGAAACCTCAAAAGCTGAGAGCGTTTCAGCTGGCGAACACAATTAAACTGGCAATATATTGAGGAGAAAGGGAGCCACATAAGCAATGGAATCTGTTTGATTTCTCTTTATGAGGGAGATAACAAATGACTTATCTGGTTTTGCCACAAGCATACACTGGCTCTGCCGCTTCATTTGCTGGGTCTGCTTGTGTGTCTGAGTTCAGATGCAAATGGCAACAATTTCCAATTAGAATTTACCTTACAAATGGACGTATTGATTTGCTGGAGCTGTGCTCATTAAACTGCAAAGTAGCAACCAGCAGCATTTCCCTGGTTAATAATCTAAAGCCTACAAAGATCTGGGATATTTGCAGCAGCCTTAAAGAAAAACACTTGATGGCTTTTAAAGTAGCATTGTGTTAAAACATCAAACATGATATTTTTTATTCTGTTTTTTTCTATTATTTTTTTATTTATGTTTTAAGGATTGTCATGTAAATTGTAGCTACATGTGTCAATGCCCTAAAATAAAATATGAGGATATGATATAAGCAAAATGAAACCACATGATATGATTAATGAATGCACAAAAATGTCCACTATGTAGGTGGACAACATCTGGGAGGTGAGGAGGAAACAATGCATGGCAAAAGAGACAGCACTTATTTATGGGCAAAAATTCAGCCGTAAAATGATAAAAACTGCAAATGTATGACATGATTTATTCCATACAGCCATTAATGTTATTTTGCCATTTTTACGTTTTAATTTGAGGTATTTATATGTACTTTTTCCAAAATTATGTTATGTACTATGTTTGAATACATTTTAATCATAGTCTCCAGTTACGATCATAATTGGGTTGCCTGAAACAAACTTTGACTCATGAGTTGGCAAAGTGGGTACAAAATCTTTGTCTGGGGGAAACAAACTGATGGATGATGAATTGGTTCCATCCACCACAGGGAAATAAGTGACACTGCAATGGTATGAAATAGCAAACATGTGGCATGACTGGCACTTCTTAAACCAACAATACAGTAAGTAACTTTTAATCCTTTATAAAATATTTTCATAGGTTTTGTGATTATACATCCACTTACAGCCGGTTGAATGACACCTCTGTCATGGCCCCAAAAGAGATCTGTACTGCTTTCATTAGCACTAAGCAATTTTTAGGAGGGTGGCAGTAACCCTGCCACATAGAACAACTACAAATGTGCAGAATGCTTTACGGTATACATCACTTCCCCCTTTATCTATTATCTTTATTTATTATAAAGATAAAAGTTGATGCAATTAGATTTTCCTTAGAGACTTTGGCTGTGTCCCGAAGTCCTCCATTTTTTAAGAGAGTCAGAATGTCTACTGGATGAAAAGTGTTGGAGTCAAAATTTCCCACAATGCACTTTGAAAAGTAGTGTACATCCATGTTCACTAGATACGCAGATACATCCCAGAATATTTTGCAAGAGCGCTCCTCACAAAGCATCATGGGATTTGTTTTAAGGGTGAGAAAGAACAAAGATGGTGAAGGAGGTGGACATTTAGACACAGAATGTTTACTAGTGGAAATTGTGAAGGGTTGCTGTTCTGGCATTTTGGCACAATTTGGCAGTGGGTAGCACTGCTGCCTTGCAGCAAGAAGGTTCTGGGTTCGATTCTCTGCCAGGGGTCTTTCTGCATAAAGTTTGCATGTTCTCCCTGAGCATGCATGGGTTCTCTCTGGGTACTCCGGCTTCCTCCCACGGTCCAAAAAGATGACAGTGAGGTTATTTGGCTTCTCTAAATTCTCTTTAGGTGTGAGTGTATGAATGGTTGTTAATCTCTGTGTTACCCTGCAATGTACTGCCAAACTGTCCATGGTGTACCCCACCTATTCATAATCTTATGGTAAACTGCACAGCAGAGGCAAAAACAAAAAATCCAAATAATATAAAAAGAAAAATCATTTGATATCCTAACAACCGCTAAAAACTACTGATAGAGGCAAGAGGTGTTAGCTGTAAATGCACTATAAAATGGAATCATGCTGAGGTCTCTATTAGGTCCTCCCTGACTTAGCATGAGCTTTTGAAGTTAATAAAAAAAAAAAAGTAAAAGAACGGCAGCCACAAGGTGAGGACAGCTCTTCAAGGTAGAGCAATGTTTATACTAAAAAATGTAACGGCATTGTCTTTATATGACAGCAATATATGATTAGGTAACAGTGCATTTAGACAATACAATTATTGCTTCTAAATACATGTACAAAATGCTGACAGCTGCAAGAAATACTTTAATTGTGCCACCCATTATTCCCAACTTTAAAACAGTGAACGGAAACAAGTAAGCAAACTTACTCAACATATTGCAGATCCCCTGGATCAGAGTTTAATATTAAATCCCTTTCCCTACCTACCTAAAGGCCTGGGGATGCTACCCTCTCATTCACTGGGATAAATACAAAACTAGACAAATGAGGGATCGCCAAGTAAACCCAGAGATCCAGCTATGCTTGGAGGTAAGGCCGACTAGCTTTAGCCAGTACAATTCAACCACCTCTACAACGTCCTGTAATCATTTCATCTGTATTCATAGCTCTGATGTCTCTGATTTTCAAAAGAGAAGCAATTTTTAATTACTGCATTCCTCATTTTAGAGAAATATTTAAATACTCCTAAAATAGGAATTACCAAGCTTATGTCTCATGGAGTGAACTTGTCTTTGGTCACACAGATGACACCCTGAGAGTGCTCAAAATGAAGACAGGAATGAGGTTACCATGGCGACAGTAATAATAATAATACTGGAAAACTTACAGACACCAGGGGAGCAGGACATGGAGCACGGCCAGAGTAGCGGAAAGGTGTAACAGGAGGATCCAGCAAAGGACAGCAATAACTGGTAAGTTCATAAACTGAGGGAGGGGTGAAAAAATAATACTATATGCAGGGGAGTTAATCAGGGGATTATGTTGAACTGCTGAAGCAAGAGGAGGGTCAAGGAGACACTTATTGGCAAGAATGGGGCTAGACTAGGATGCAAAGAAACTACTAAACCAAGAAGAAAAGACAAACAGAAATCTTTGAAAAATAAATCCAAACACAGCAGAATAAAATAATAAGCTCAGAAATTAAACACAAACAAACTTATAATACAAAACCCTAATAGCAAACATAATAACTGAATATGAGAAGAAGAGGAAATATAATAAACAACAAGCAAATGATCAAAACCAAAAAGACAAGCCAAAACCTGTGAATCATGTGAGAGTGCTGTTTAGACAGCAGAACATCTCCCCTCCATGGCTAATGTGGTACTAGAAGAGACCTGCAGATAGAAAAAGAAAAGTGTTCATCCCTTTATTGTCCCTCAATGGGTAAATTTACTCTCCGCATTTGACCCATCCCCTTGGGGTCCAGTGGGCTGCCATTGTGTGGTGCCCTGGGAGCAGTGTGGGGTAAAGGGTCTTACTCAGGAACCCAGAGTGGAGGCTGTGGGGATCAGGTACTTGCAATGCTCTAACCCACTAGGCCAAGCACTTTATGCTTATGCATTCAGCACACGCATTTATAAAAAGCGATTTGCACCTAAAAAACAAATAATTTGTGTTTTGTACTCATCACTTTCTATGAGAGCTTCTGATGTGTCAGAGAATTTTGCATTTGCTCCTGTGCCGTTATATTGAGTGTGGATCAATAAGGATGGGCGTTAGTGATGAACCCATTGCATTTAACTATTAGTCTGCTTTCTAAGGAAAGAAAGCCTCCTGGGTGTTTGTTGGCAGACTGAGCACCTCTCTTTTCCCCCATACTACAGTTGTCTATATAACTAAAAGCTTTAAACAACCAGGACAACCCTGCTGAATACAAATAAAGTATGGTAATTTACATCTCTGAAAATATGTTTTCTAAATGGCCAAATAGGCAGTGCAGCAAATAAGAACTGTGTCCAGAGGTGTAATCAGAGCAACATTCAAAGCTTCTGGTAAAATAATTGAAATGGTAATGGCTTCTGCTCCTACCAGGTCAACAAACAAGAATCCACTATGCTGTTACAAATATAAGAGCCCAGCCCCCTTAGGATCTGGAACTGCAGGCTAAAATGCATAAATCACCAGCCCAAATAACAAACACTTTAAAAGCAAAATGGAACACCGAGTGAATAAAATTCCCCTTTTGAATATTTCTCTTCATATTCAAAATACCGGTAAAAAGAAATGGCTCAGCATCACGAAGAGCTTGATACGAATATCCAGCAAAAGCAACTGATGGAATTATATTCAGTTCGCTGCTACATATTGTCTTTCCTTAATTGATATTTTACATGGTGGAGGAACACAAGTTATATAAAATAATTATGAAGGGAAAGTAAAGAATTAGAATTAAAGTCTTAAAGCTCACATGTACTGAACCCCCCAAAAAAGGCTTTATAGGACCACCACATATACAGTCTGTCATGAAATAGGTCCCTAACTTACACAATAGTTCAACCTCATTCACAGAGAGGATCTGTTCTCATCAATTTTCAGGTCATTCTAGATATCCTTTGTTAGCTTTAAATCTAGAGGTTGGTTGGCTCCTAACATATATATATGTTGGGAGTCAACTTCCTGCAAGAGAGGGAACCTGCGTCCAGACTGCAGTCCAGGGTGATGTGCTCTGTTAGTTTTCCATCTGGGGAAATGTGTTACATCTTAGTCTCATCTGACCTGAGCACCATCTTTCATGCAACACCAGTAGAATTTAACACAATAAATATTACCATCTTGTTTTCTCCTCCACACAGTAGAATCGTCTTCCTAGGTGTTGTTCTTCCACAAAAAAATAAGTATTTACATTTGATTATAAGTAAAAATTAATTAGGACAATACACTAATAGATAAATGCAAGCACTTATAACTACCAATGGATAAACAGCAATATTTATATCCAAGGCTGGTGGGAAGCAATCAGATTGTAAATGGGTAATATGATTTATTATTTATAAAACCTGAATAGTGCCACAATTCACTTTGACATTACTTGCCTTTGAATATAACAAATGTTTCTTGCTAAAACCAATATTTATGGTTTTCTGTTCAATATATTGATTTGGCTTACACACAGCTATACAGAGAGAATGTAGCACTCTTGGAAATGAGGACGAAATTAGATTCTGCCAGTTTCACTTCCAGAGGGAAAAATAATCTGCAGTGATAATGAAAGATACAAAAGTAATGAATTATTGAGAAAAACTAATTGGTTTGCCAGCAGGTGGCTCTCCATAATAAGTAGCTATTAATGTTTTATTTCAAACAATGAAAATGCCGTAAAACCTGCTTTACAGTGGCCAAGAAATTGATGCCTATTAAAATTTTATTTTCTTATATTGTTTTTCAAGATCAACAGTATGTTATGTAATTTTTGATCATTGTGTCGCTGCTTACTGGTCAGTCATATTAGTGCTCTCTATTCTCTATTCTCTATCTATATTTGAATTTCTGAGTTATACCTACATTGGTTTGTATTGTGTTAATCTATTCATTCTAGGTTGTTGAAAGTTAAATAATCAGTCTGATTCAGCAAATATACAGCTCAAGTCATACCTGTGAATTTCCTATTTGGATCCTGCAGATTTGCCTAAACTCGTAAGAAAAATCTTCAGATTACCTACCTTTGTTCTGGACTTTTGGCTGAGACATTCCTTAAAGAATGGGTACTGTCATGGTGTTATGGTGTGCTTAATTAGGTTTAGAATGAGTTTTGTATAATTTTTTTTTTTTTTTTTTTTATTGATTCAGTGAATTCTTATGTTGGCGTAATATCCATGTGTTTTGGTTATAATAATTCTTATCTTGTTTTGGGTTTAGTTGGCTTTTTTGTTTGCCTTGTCATTATCTCTTTGGTCTCAGTCTTGTGGCCCCATTAAAGCAGCCAGTTATAGCTTAACTATCTATGCTTCACTGTCTAACCACTCATTTTTCTGATCCACCTCTATGAGTTTGCTGGCTTTCTCCCTGTAGCCAGACATTTTATCTACAGTCGGTGTAGTTTTTTTTACTCCCTAGGGTTTCCGGTTTTTTTTATTTTATTTTTTTACTTATTTTTAGTCCATTTGTTGAAGTTTACTGAGCATTATTGAATCCTGCATTTGGGTGAAGTTAAGTCAAAAATCACCTGAGGAAATGTGTCTTTAATCTAAATTCAATCAAAGACACAACTTAGATGAAATTTCATTCGATCTTGATTTTCATTTCCTTAGGGATTTTGTCCACTCTTTATCTTTATTTATAAGTAAGTTGACAATTGTTATAAGGAACACTGTTTTTGTCTCTTTATGCCTAAAATTGAATTGTACTTTTAGATTACTAGTATACCTCCATGTATAATACCCAACCAATCCATGTTTTCTTTTGTTTGCTTTTAATCCTCCTTATCAAATTTATTAGATCATTAAAAAATGTTGAACCAGTTTGTTTGCTTGCATTTACTCTATCTCAACGTGTGCACGATTATGTGATTCGCAAAGATGTCCATAAGCACACAGTATGGTGTCTCTGCCAATGCAATTTCCCCACATTTGAATGCATAGTTTGGAATGTATTTAGTGGATAATCTTCCTGTATTAATTCAAATGTATGCAAATGTCTTTCCAATGAAAAAATCCTTAGCATGAAAAACAGAGCATGAGAACAAAACAACCAAAAAAGGGAAAATAGGCAACCTTTTGCACTCGTGTTTTCTCAGGAAAAGAACAGTAATGTCTACAAAATTAGAACTTATTGTTTTTTGCATTAAAAAAAAAAATATTAATGCAAATATATTTGCAATTTCAAATTTCTAAGTGAAGATATCATTTTTTTCTGATTACATTCCCAAATTAGTAAAGTACATATTTTTTTTGACTATCGGTAATAACTTACACACATTCTATACTTGTTTCATACATAACATACAAACACAAATAATAATCTGTATACTTTTCTTAAATTGAATTCTTGAATTGTTTCAATTGAGTCTTTGGTTAGTTGCATAATTATTTCCAGTATCTATTATATTTAAGAAAAGGATGGGGTAATATTTTCTTAGGCTGCTGCACAAGAATGTGATAGAAGATCCTCAGACAGCAGCTTGTACTTTTATGGGACAGTTGTGTACTTTTATTATTATGATCAGTAAGAAGTAGTATCTTTATAATAAATATTTTTGGGACTCTGTGCTTGCATGTTACTCATGCCAGATATTTTTTACCCAATGTACCTTAGGGAATATATTGCAATCCACTAGATGGCAGCAAAACTTTTTGTCTATCTTTTCCAACCACATCTACATAAGAAAATGTTTTTCCTCACATAAAACCAGGGAATCAGCACTTTTATTTGAAAGACACAGCCTGTAACCCTAAAGACCTCAGAAATGTTGTTTTGTTTGTTTTTTGATTCAGTTATCACGGGGAACAGTGTCACAACCCTGCTTTGTTTTCTTTTAAGAGATAGATATCCTAAATATTTTGGATCTGAAATCATAATGATCTAACAGGAAGATCTGGGGGGGAGAGAACTAGTCTAGAATAAACTTCCTGCCTTGTTTCTAGCTTTTTTTCGCTGTCATCAGCTGGTAGCCTTGAGGGTTTAAAATGTATACTGTCTCAACATTGATTACATGTTCATCACCCCACTGCAGCTGCAGGTCGCCGTACCTTCTCCATTGTTTATTTAGACTCAGATGTAATGCATTGCTTTTGCTGAGCCCTAAACAAAGAAACCCATGAATACCTTTCAAGAAATGACATTTGATTTAAAAAACATATACTCCAAGACAATCAAAATACAAACTAGAGAAGAAAGTCGGTTTAGCCTACAGCAGGCACTGCTTTACAACACTGAATATTGGAGCATATTTTATAAGACCTTTTCAA